GCTGTCTGTTCCATTGTCTGCTCAGAACAGCGTTGCCTCCTCTTACCCTCCTGTGTCTCTCTCCTCTCCCTTTGTCTCTCTCTTCTTTGTCTTCCTCTGTTGCTATTTCGGTCCTTCCTCGATGCTGGTGCTGCGGGGTGAGCCTCTTTTCATGTCAGGATGCAGAACCCCGTCAAACTGGTAAACAGCTGAAGGATGTGGTGGGAGATGAACTTTCCACTGAGGCGGCTTTGAACTCATCCCTTCCTTGATGGGTCTCCCCGGCTCCTCCCCACTTGGAGACTCCATCCCATCTTCATGGAGTCGAGACGGGGGCCTGGGCCCTCGGCCAAGAGGCATCCATGCCAAGGAGCCACACAGAACTCTGGCCCCCTCTGCCTGTCTCCAGAACCACCAAGAGGGTCTCAGGAAGGGGCGGAAGTGGAAACCACAGATGGGGTGATAGGGAGGGATGGGGAGCTGAGTGGCGGCTTGGCAGATGTGCCTCGGAGGGGAGGTTTCCAGTGGAAAAGGTTGGGTACCAGCCGGTGATGCCTGGCCAGGGCTGGGAAGCCTGAGTCTGTGCCCCTGAGAGTGGTCTCAGCGCCTTGGAGCCACGCGGATGCAGCCCAGAGAGCAGACCAGAGCGGGGGCCCTCTGGTGGGACAATCCCACCCAGGCCTCCTCCTGGCCTCACCCCTGGGCCAGGCCAGGTGTCTGGAGGATGCAAATCAACTCTGGGGCCAGAAGAACGGCATGCTGCTTGGCCAGGCGTTCTGATCCATAAGCACAGAAATGAGCCTTCAGTGTGGATTTGACCATTTTAGGAGGCCACGTGAAATGGCAGCGGGGCCCGGCCACTCTGTGACAAGCTGGCAGCCCTGGGAAAACTCAGAATCATCCCGAGCTTCAGTTTTTTCAACCATAAGATGAGATTAATACTAAGATCTCACGGGCTGTGTTGAGTCCGTACTTACAATGTGCCCGACTCATAGTAAGTTCTCCGGGGTGGAAGCTGTTATTTATGTCACTGTTTTCCATTGTGGCTGGAGGGTGCCGTGTTGGGAATCACCTCCCATGGATGCAATCACTCTCCAAATCTTAGAATCCTTCACCTTCCCCTGGTCCTGGCCACCAATGCTCGGTGGCCACCTCCCAACTCAAACCCACCTCCGCCTCACAGCAGTGATCTTCCTAGAGCATCCAGCTCATCAGATCATTCTTTGCCTTAAAAATTCCTTATGACCCCCCCCCCCGTGCTACTAGGACAATGACCAAACTCCTGGACAAGTTACAGAGTCTGTCTGAGATGCTCCCCAGTGGCCTTTCACACCTGTGCCCTCCCTGCTCCCCAAGCCTCAGCCAGTATGCACCACACACACACATGTCACCACTGGGAATGTCCTTCACTCTCTTCTCCGTCCAGCAAACTCCTGCACATCCTTCAATAGCCTACTCATTTGCTCCTTCTTTGTCATGCTTTCCCCAACCACTCCTGGCAGGGTTGGTGGCTTCTTCCCCTCTGCCCACACAGCCCTGTGTAAGGGTGTGCTGGAATCTGAATGAGGCACAGGTTATGTGCTCGGGTAGCACAAGGGCCAGATATGCTCAATATTCCTTTTGAAAATCCCTTGAGGAGTGAAAAGAAGCAAGTTGCCTAGGAGTGTGGATAGAATGCCCCTTTTTTTTGTACAAGAAGGGGCAGGGGAAGCAAGAGGTATTCCTATTTTCTGGTGTTTTCATTGGAGAAATGACAGTGTTTACTTGGGGAGGGGGGAAGGGAGGGGCGATGGTAGTTGGGTGGGTAACAAGATTTTAATGATATGCATAGAGTTTTGAATCACATGAATATATTCACTATTTAAAAGAAGGAAGGAAGGGTGGAAGGAAGGAAGGAAGGGAGGGAAGGAGGAAGAGAAAATACAAAAATCCCTTAGGGAGCCTCTTGTATTTGAGTCTGTCCTGTGCTGCTTCCAACCTAGAATTTTCTCCCTCCAACATCAGATCAACCAGATGAAGCAATGGACTTGTGTTTCAGACCATCACATATGAAAAAATGTGAATCATTAATAACTAACATCCCATCCAGCGTGGCAAGACGCCCACTCCATGAATGGTTCTCAGGGTCTGAGGGAACAGAGGGTCCCAGCTCCCACCTCTCTCGTCCCTCCCGGGTGTTGTTCACCGAGGAGGACGGTGAGCTCAATTGTTCTTTTTCTTTCTCTCTTGCTGCTGAGTAGATGCGCTTAAGCTCGCGTGGTTTAAATATTCCTGTGATGCTCCCCCACCGTGTAGTGAGGTGGTTTCACGCTGGGGCTTTGGAGATACATAGAAAAATTTTTTCTACTGCCTACCAAGCTGTGTGACTAGTCACTTAACCTCTTTGGGCCTCAGTTTCCTTATTTATAAATTAGGGAGGATAGCTCTTCTTAGAGAGCTTTTATGAGGATTATAAGCAATAATACACTCCTGGCAGATAGTAAATGCCATCCACTGTCATCGTCATCACCACCACCACACCTATGGGATATACTGGCAGTTACTGGTCTTTGTGTCTGTCTCCCTCAGGGAAGGGCCAGGTTTCATTCCTGTCTGTGCCCCGGGGCCAGGGTAGAGCCTCCCTGCATACGGGTGCCCGGCAGTGAGTTATTCCATCCCTGAGTTTAGCATCCCAGCAGCCAGCAGGTGCAGACAGGCTGGTGTCTCCAGATCTCAGAGCTCTGTACCCAGCAGTGTAGCTCCAGTGGGCACAGGGACAGGAACTGGTTTCCACCTGAAGTGCCATGGCTAACACTCAAGTTGCTGCAGCCGGATGGCACATACCAAAAACCTAGTGCAGCTGCTTTTTAGCTGTGTGACTTGGGCATCTTAGTTAACCTCTCTGGGCCCCAGTTTTCTCACCTGTGAAATAGAGTTGGTGTGAGAATGGGCTGTCCTCAGCCTCTTCTCTTCTCAGGATGGGCCACCCTTAACCGCGCAAGCCACCTGGTTTCTTGTTTTCTCTTTGTTTATGCTTTTCCTTTGACTTGGAATGCTCATCCCTCTCCACTCCTAAGGCTAACTCCTACCTATCCTTTACTGCTCAGCTCGGGCATCACCTCCCCAGGAAGCCTTCCAGGATGGCCTCCCTCCAGCAGGGTCAGCAGCTCTCCTGGGCCCCCATACGTTCCCTGTGCATCATTCGCTGCCCCTGCAGAGCCAGAAAATTCCTGGAGCGCCTCCACTTCAGATAAAGCCCCTCCCCAAACAGTGTTTCTGAAATTGGGATTCAGCTGCCACATTCATTTCACATCTTTGTGTTTCCTCTCCCAGATCCTTGAGGCGTACATAATGCAAGCTCTCTAAAGAGTGGCAGATAAGCACACCTGTTTATGATTGTCACTCCCCTGTTAGGCTCCCCTGCTCCTTCAGGTCAAAGCAGGGTGTCACTCATCTCAGCCTTTCCAGTCCCAGCACGGATGTGGCTCTGTAAGGAACGGTCTGAGTGCCCTGGAGGCGTAGAGATGGGGGAAGGTCTTCCCTGGGAGTAACTCCCATTAGCCAGCCCAGGAAGATGGCTCTGGCAGGAGGCACTGTGTTTCTGGACACCAGTCCTCAGAAGGTCTCCTGCCATTTGTGACCCTGGTGCCCCCAGGCTGCCCCGGGCTGGGAGGGACCAAGGGAGACGTGTCTCAGAGTTTCCCCAATTTCTCTCCCACTGGTGTGTGTGTGAGAGAAGGAGGTGGCCAGGGATGGGGAGGTGGCTCTGGTGAGAAATGAGGGAGAACTCAGAGGGTATCATCATCTCCCTGAGCCCTGGGTGGCTGGGTGGGGTGGGGTAGGGCCAGATTGTAACTTGGCTACTAACTCCTGGGTGACCTTGGACAAGTCCTTTCCCCTGCCACGCCTCAGCGTCCCCATCTGTAAAATGAGAGTGGGAAAGGTTTTCCCCATGCCTCCTCCAGCACCAGCGAGCCAAGACCCCATGAATTGCTGACTGTCTAGTCCTCCCCTTTCTCCTTTTATGGAGATCTCTCACCTCTACTGATTAGCCTGTCCATGACGGGGAACATTGCCAAATTTCTAATCCTTACCACAACCTCTGCGGTACCTACTACTGCCGTGTGCACTTTACAGACAAACTTGGCAGCAAAGGCTCAGAGATGTCAAGTGGCTTGCTGGAGACCACACAGCCAGAACAGGGTGGAGCTGGGGTTGGAACCCAGGCTGTCTGACTAAAAAAGCTTTCACAAACCGCCCTGGGACTCTGTCCTGCCCACCCCAGCCCTTGCTCCTCCCCTAGAAGGAGAACCCGGGGAAGGTTCTGAGGGCCCGAGGAGGGGGGGCCCGTCACTACAGCAACCACATCCTCTGACGGTTGCCCTGGGAAGTGGCGGCTTTCTCCGCACCTCTGGGACAGGTGAAGGAAGGCCGCCAGGCTCAGCCCCTCAGGGCAGGATCCACGGAGCAGCCTCCTCCACCACCCCCTGCCCTGGGAGGGCTCAGAGGGAGCCTGACCCCCAGCCCCCTTCCCACAGGCAGTGCTGCTCCTCAGCATTGCAGCTGGGTGAAAACTCCAGCCTCTGAGCCAGGGGAGGGTTCATCTCTAAGATCCACTCCACATTCCCCTCCGTATCCCTCAGCCTCATCACCAGCTCCTCCTGGGCCTGGGATCAGTGCCTTTGCCAGGCGGCTCTGAGCATAAAATCCATTCCCCCTGCCCATCTCGGAAGTGTTAGGAGGCCCAGGTCAAAACATCTAGTGCAGCAACCCTGGGCCCACTGAGCCAGGGCTGGTGGGCAGATCAGGGAGGGGGCGGTGCTGAACTCACAGGCGTCTGTCCATCTCCTCTGGGAGGACAGGCCCCGTGTCGTCTTTTGCCTGCATCCCCAGCAGCTGTCACATAGCCGGGTCACAGTAGGTTTTCAATTTGTCCTGACATTTCCACCTCGATGGTTAGAGCTGCTCCCACACAACTTGCGCACGCACACAAGCAGAGCCTGGGTTCTCTGAGTTCAAAGACTTATCTCGCCACACCCCAGTTTCATTCAGCAATTAGTTTAATTTCGAGACACTCAGAGCAGGACACCAGAAGCCGGCCCTGGGCCCTCGGGCCTCTCTCTGGAGGCTGCCTGGACACGTTTACGGCTCTAGGAGTGACATTGATACTTATGTATTCACCGGGGAGGCTCCCGTCAATCCAACCAGACAGATGGGGACTTGGGGCCCCTCCTGGAAGACAGCTCTGTGCTTCAGCCGCCACGGAGACTGGACCCCACTCTGAATCTGTGGGTTGGATGGTCTGGATGGGACCATCTTTGTAAACCGTACGAAGCTCAGAATAAGGATCTGCTGTCCAGGGACGGTCACTGCAGAACAGGGCTGTGCCCCCTGTGGGCTCCGAGGGTCTCTAGAGGTAGGGCTGCCCTCAGGTCCCCGCTCCAGGAGGTCGGGGCGGGGAAAGGGCAGTCGTCCTGCTCACCGTCAGCCGGCTGAGCCCAGGAAGGCCGGACTCCCTGCCGGGTGCAGTTACCACTGAGCAAAGCCTGGCCAGCGGGCGGCCCCCCAGCCCCAGCCCCTACCTGTCAGAGCCACAGCAGCCCAGCAGCCCCTGCACCACGGGCCTCCCCGCCCCTCCTGGGACCTCTGGGCCCTGAGCTGTCAGAGGTGAAGGGAACCAAAGCCCCAGACACCCGAGGGTTGGAAGGGGCCTCAGGAATCTTCCAGTCCAACCCCTCCACGCGGCCTGCCGGGAAGTGGCCCAGATCCTTGTTAGTTCCTGAGGCAGAGCTCTCCACCCTTCAGAGGCAGCCCCTCCGGCCAGGGGCTGCCGCCTGGGCCCGGGAGAGGGCTGTGCTGCAGGCTGTCGATGGAGGCTGAGCGTACAAGGTGTGGACTTTCCTCTCGTGTCTCCAGGGAAGGACTCTCAGCCCCTGAGGGATGATCTGGGCAGACGGGGCTGGGGCAGGGGGCACAGGCAGAGCAGGAGTCCGGAGAGAGGGAGTGCACAGAGCCTGGCAGGGCCCAGGCTAGGCTGCTCCGATGTCATCATAGTCTTCGGAGGAGGAGCAGTCAGACTGGGGATTGTGGGACCCTGTGCGGCCAGGACACTCTGGTCAGAGAGAGGTCCAGCATTGCCCCTGCTGAGCGGGGACAGAGCTGGGAGGATCTGGGTCCACATCCCTCTCCCTGTGGTGCTGTGTGAGACCATCTTCATCTTATCACCTTGTTCAAGGCCATTCCCTTGCTAGAATGTCAGTCCTGAGGGCACAACCTTATCTGTGTAGTTCAGGGCTGTAGTCCCTGAGGGCTGGAGCCCCTCTGCCACTACAACCTCCCCCAAGGGGCTATCTGGCTGCCTCTCCTTGAATGCCTTCCCTAATGGGGAGCTCACTTCCTCTCAAGGCACTTTTTTTGAATCTCTGTCCCAACCACATCTATTTTCCCTATCTCCTCAAAAACAAACAAACAAAAAACCAACCAGGTCCCCCTCAGACCACACCTTTTACCTCTTTTCTTTTCCCCTTGAGTTGACGTGTTGATGTATCCAGGCTGCCCTACTCATCCACCTTCCAGTCCCTCTCTGTGTCCCTTCCCAAGACCCCCTCCCCTGCCACTGGCACCTGGACATCCAAACTGCTCAGTAGGGGGCTGGGGCGGCGGTTGGAAGTTCTGGTACCACTCCCCGGAGGAGGTGCTGGAGCTGTCATCAGGCTGGGGCCCTGCTGGAAACCCCCAGAGCTAGTCACCCTCTGCCAGGAGACAGTCAGTTCCCAAAATGCCAGGGCTGGGAGGCCCTCCAGACTTAAGTCAAGTCAAGTCCTCCCCTTGACCACTGGGGAAGTGAAGGCCCAGAGAGGGGAGGAGATTTGTCCAAGGTCACACAGCAAGTGGCTGTGGAGGTGGGACTAGAATTCTGAACTCAGCCTGGCTTGGGGCTCCCAGCTTTACGCTTCCTCCAGGCAGATTGGCTACAGGATGGGAGGTTGGAGCAGGCACACAGTCCTCCTGGGCCCACCTTACCTGAAAAAGTCGCCTGTGAGCCTGCCAGCTCCAAGTTCGGGGGCTGCTCCAGGAGGGGGTTCCTCTCTGAAGGAAACACCCGAGAGTCCCACGGAGGTAGCCTGCTGCTGGGGCTATTGCAGTACTCCTCCCCTGAGGATGTGCTGGAGTGGCTACTGTTCCTTGGGTGGTGCTGAGGGCCCAGAGAGGGGGCTTCTGCAATGCAGTGTTCAGGGTTGGCAGGTGAGACCTGGGAGGTGTGCATCTCTTCAAATCCTGGGCCCGAAAGAGAGAATGGTGATAAAGTAGAAGCCATGCAGCAAGAGGGCTTTAAATTAGACTTGAGGAAGAACTTACTGCCGATGGGAATTGTTAAAGTCAGAAAGGAGCTGTGGAGGAAGGTTGTGCTGATGCTTCTGAGGGTGGGTGAGCTGCTGAGTCTGGAGGCAGAGCTGGCATCCTAATCATCCCCTCAACATCCCTCCCTACCCTGACTCACCTTCCTCCAGGGGGGGCATCTGGAACCTGTTCTGCTGGACCTCCTCGTCTGTGAAGCGGTACCGCTGGGAATCTACAAGCAGAGGTGGTGGTGAGGGAGGAGGTAGAGATGGTTCTGCTTCCATGCCTGGGATGCTGGGGCAGAGGCTGGTGTTTTGTGGGACTCAGGAGGGTGCCCCTGAGGCTGAACAGGGTGGGAGGACAACCCTGGTGTACAGAGGGGGTTTTCATCAGATCCTGGGCTCACGTCCTAGCCCAGGCAGACTCTGAACCTCAGTCTGAAAGCAGAACCAGGAAGGCTACTTCTGGCTGGAGAACCTAGTGCCCTGTGCCTGCCCGCCTGCAGCTGCCTCTACTGCTACTTAAGGAAATATTAAGAGTCCTGGGTTCTCTCCTTGTGCCCGGGCATCAGGAAAAGGGCAGATGTTGCCGCTTGAGGAGACATCCCAGAGGGGAAGCCGAGGGTCTGGAGTCTTTGCATCCCGGGCTCTGCGGTACCTCCATTTCAGAGTCAGAGAGATGCAGATTCAAAGCGTTTTAAGGACTTGAGTGTCTGGAATCTGGAATTCTGCTCTTCCAAACCTGGGACTGCTGACTTTGAGTCTCAGTGTCATAGGATTTTGGACTCTTAGTCTTGCATGTTACATGCCTGGGCTCAAAATCTCAGGTTCTAATCTCATTTCTGTGACTCCCAAATGCTGGTCCACGGCCCCACAGAGTAGAAGCATCCATACGGGCCCCAGAGGCCCTGGATCAGATGGCTGCTGTCCCCACATCCGCTCTCTCCCTGTAGGAGGAGACCTCTGGCCTTCATCTGGACACACAGCTGCCCAGGACAGAGGCTTCATCTCTGTGCCTCTCTTGCAGCTGTGGGTTTATGTTCTGGCGGGTGCTGCCTAGAATGCGGACATGATGGTGAACCATTCTGGACCACGTGGACAGGACAACACCTTAGGACTGCAGAGTAGGAAAAAGGAGCCTGTGTCCCCTCCAACTTCTCCAGACACTGTCACTTGGAGTGACACACAGCTAAACTCTCATCCTAGCTAATAAGGTAGGTCCTGGGTGGGGCTCAGGGAAGTTTTGATGAGATCCCAAGGGATTCCACAATAGACTTGAGATTCTCTGCTCTGGCTCGACCTCCCCAGCCCTGCCTAAGGCATTGACTTTCCTGGTCCTATATCCCCAGCAGGCAGAGAGCAGAGCTGGAGGAGCTGGCTAAGAGGTGTGGGCTGGGCTCACGGTGGAGGTGGGGGAGGAGGTGAGGTGGATGGGACAGGACGGGACACAAAGTGGGTGTGAGCGTGCGAGAAGCCATCGGAGCTGGAGTCCCTAGAATCTTACACTGATGCAACCACTTTTAGGAGACTGTGAAGGGACTGATTTTAAGACCCTGCATGAAATACTAACTACTATATATAAAATAGATAAAAAACAGATTTCTTCTCTATGGCACAGGGAAGTAAAGTCAGTACCCTGTGGTAATCTATAATGAAAAAGAATATGAAAACGAACATATGCATGTATATGTGTGACTGAAACATCATGCCGTCCACCAGAAATCGACGCACTGTAACTGACTATTCTTCAATTAAGAAAAAAATAAAAACCTGCATGGCCACAGACAAACATGGAGGAAAGGCGGTCCAAGGGGAAAGTGCCTTGAGACACGGGACATTGAGATGTCTCCAGGGCCACAAAGCACCTTGAAAACTTCCGTGCAGGACCACTGAGAGTCAGTCTAGGAGGTGCCGCCCTTGTCCTGCAGGGACCACTGGGAGGAACCCACTGCAGGGCTCCCAGGTGGCTGGACCCTCTCCCTGGTTCAGGCAGGTGGGCCCTCAGGAGGCCGGGCCCGGGCACTCACTGTAGAAGGTGGTCAGGGCCACGGGAGGCTGGGTGCTGAAGTCATAGTGCTCATAGTCTGAGTCCGAGCTGGAGTTCGAGTCTTCGGGGGGCAGGGCCTGGACCTGGATGGGCAGCTTGGGAACTGGGGAGAGAACAGAGTGGGGGGCATGGCAAGGCAGTGGGCAGAAAGGTGCAGAGAGAGGCAGCAGAGAGCGTGGATGGTGGGGACCGGAGATACTGGGGCAGGGAGAGTACCAGGCAGCCCATCTTGTACAAGACCGCCGGACCTGGGTTTTCTAAGCATTCCCCATCCATTTCAAACACAGGGAACAAAATAACATGTATTTATTTATTTAACACTTCCATAGCAGCCACTACATGCCAGGCACTGTTCTAACATTTACAAGTATTATCTCATTTGGTTCTCATAACAACTCTGTGAGGTAGCTACATGAGTGTCCCCATTTTACAGCTGAGGAGATGAGGCACAGAGAGATTCTCACATTGCCCTGAGACACAGACAGTGTGGTTCTTAACTCTAGACCATAATATTCAGTGAGCGGCTGCCCTGGGCCTACCGCTGTGCTAGGTTCCGTGTTCAGATTCTCTTCTCAAATATATGGCTCCTGGGTGCAAAGAATCTTTATAATATCTGGCTGAGTTTTGTATTGGTTTTTGTGTCATTGAACACTTTCAAATAAAGGTGATCTAATATATTCATAAAGCGACCTGATTAAACTTGAACTCCTTCACAAGAATCTCAAGAGGTGTAAAAGATGGATGACTGGTTCCATTTGTTTCACTTGGAAAATATGAAATAAAATTATATTCCAGGATCACGTCGATGGGGCTTTGCAGGGAGGCTGACTGGGCAGGCCGTTGGAAGAGACGGTGATATTACAAACTCACTGGCTGATTAGAAGAGCAGAGCTTTCTTTTGAGAACCAAGGTCCAAAATGCCCTGGGCCTGTTTTGGTCCGGAATTCAAAAGGCTAGAGTTCTAAAATGAGCACTGGAAGGTCATCTATCATCAAGGCCCAGACTGAGACTGGACCTGCTCAAGGTCCCGCAGCTGCTAGTGGGCTGGCCAGGTCTCATCTCCAGCTGGGGCACCGCTTTGACCTCAGCAGTAGGGACCCTCCAGCAAGGATCCCTTTCCTGTCCTCCCCAGCCCTCCCCACGCCCAGGGTGGGAGACATCCTACCTTCTTCTTTGGCAATGATGATGGGGACCCCTTGATAGCTTTCGATCCCTACTGGGGTGGTGGTAGGTAGGTGCTGGTGGTTCACTGTAGCAGGGAGGGCTGAGGGAGGGGAGGCAGAGATCCTAGGAGTCATTTTTTGTTCCCTCCCAGTCTACCCGGTCCTGTTCTTATGGAGACACCTCCCTCCTCACCTCCCCCACCCTCAAAAACACACACACACCAATCGGGTCCTCCCTTGGACCACTTCTGCGGGGCATGCTGGGAAAATCCTTCCCATCAGGAGGTGCTTCTTGGGGCCAGGGCTGGGTGTCCATTGCTGGATCACTGCCACTCCTGCTGAGGTCCCCCACGGCTCCCACCCCTCTGGGAGGACCGCGCCTCAGACCTGCTTCTTCTCATCCCTGGGTCTTTCCCGTGGCTCCCAGGACTCTGCACTTACCATATTTTCCTTTAATTCTCAAGAGGATGATGGCTATGGAAATGAGTGAGACAAGGAGGAGAATTCCCAGAATGATGCAGGGGATGAGGAGCATTAGCTCTCTAGATTCCCAGTCCTTCATTTTCACTGTCACAGAAGATTCTGGAAGCAAGACCCCCATATCAGGAAGAAAGGGGAATGGACGTAGACTTCTCTTTGCCTTTCTCGCCTCTCCATCCTCTCTGCATCTGACCACTTCCCCTTGGACCTATCCTCCTGCTCCCTTTTTTTTTCAAATTTTCCCATCTGCTTTTAGGTGCTTGGTATACAGTAGGTGCCTGAGAAATGCATATTGAATGGATGATTGACTGAATGAAAATTTCTCCTGGCCACCAGCTCACAGGGATCTCTTTCTGCTCAGCAATTATTGAGCACCCACTGTGTGCCAGGCACTACATTCAGGGGGGACAAATATGACAGCTGTGTCACAGGCCTTGAGGGAAGATCAACAAGCCATCTTAATCCAACTCGGTGAGGTGCCTGCTCTGATGAAGGTATGGACAGGTGCGGGGCCCTACAAGGGGCACCTGATTCTCTATGGGGAAGACCAAGGCTGGGTCCCCAGGGAAGGTGACTCTGGGCCACCACTGGAAGGGAGCAGACAGCAGGAGAGCTAGATCTTCTTTCTGTGCCCCAGACGCATCCTTCCTACCAGACGTGCACTCCCCGAGGGCAGTGGGGAGGGCCACGATTCCGGACCTCCCAGCTCTGCAGCCCTGGTGGGACTTTCTGCCTCCCTCACCCTCTTGGCCCCATGCCTGCTTTCTTTTTCTTTTTTTCTTCTCTTTTTTTAAATTTTGGTTGGGATTTTTTTTAACTTTTTTTGGGGGGGTGCAGTAATTAGGTTTATTTATTTATTTATTTATCTATTTATCTATCTATTTATTTATTTATTTAATTGGAGATACTGGGGATTGAACCCAGGACTTCCTGT